TGGTATGTCTGTAAAGAGGCAGAAGAAAATGCTGAGTGGAGGTGCACCACACTGCACAGCAATGCTTTCTACATGCACCTATTAGAGTCTTCATTTAATTGGGCTGTTATTTGCATAGATACTTACTAACATTAGTCATACTATTTTTTAGCAGCTAATAGCATCTGTTACCCATTAATTTTATACATTTGCTTTTTTGAAAAACAAATCTTTTGTTAATTCACTCTAAATTGAGACTACATTTACAATCTTCAGTTTTTCAGTGTTGAAGCAAATCAGAGAAGAGCAATGTGTATACATAATGTGCATTTTCCTGCCTACCAAAATTCTTCTGGCCAGGCAAAGTGGCTGATGCCTGTAATCCCAGCACTCAGGGAGGCTGAGGCGGGTGGATCACCTGAGGTCAAGGGTTCAAGACAAGCCTGGCTAACATGATGAAACCCCATCTCTACTTAAAATACAAAAATTATGCGGGCATAATGGCGGTGCCTGTTATCCCAGCTACTTGGGAGGCTGAGGCAGAAGAATTACTTGAACCAGGGAGGCGGAGGTTGCAGTGAATTGAGAACGCGCCATTGCAGTGCAGCCTGGGCGACAGAGTGAGAATTAATCTAAAAAATAAAATAAAATAAATTATTTCTTCATTTACTTGGAAACCCTGGAAAGCCCCATACTCCCTTTGAATACTTTAGCCAGGATTTCAGATTTCAAAAGGTAAAAAACAATCATTGAGCAAAGCCTAAATCTTGTCTTTGTTTCTTGTTAGTCATCTGGCCATTTCCATTTCCATAAGTATGGCAACTATGCCAAGCCACTGAAAAAATGTGGTTTTGGTTAATTTTATTCTATTTCAAATGTTTTCTCTAATTGTTACTTTGGGCATGTCAACCTAAAAGAAACTATCTACATAACTAATCATGCATTCAAAAACTATTCCTATTAAGGTGTTTACAGTTTAATCTTGCATTACAGTACAGTAGAATCCTCTATAATTAGAAGTTATTTATAAATGCATTGTTTTTAAGGTTTTTCAAATTTGAAAACAGACAATTAAGTATGCTTTTTGAAGCAAGTTCAATTGCAGGACATTACCCACTGGTCTTCATGGCATTTCTGTAATAAATAGTGTAAACCTGGGTCACAAGAACGGTACAGACATGCTGATTGAAATAGAATAAATTCATCCTTGTTCGTAGACTATTGGTATCCCAGAGGCCAATCATTCAATATAGCTTACTAAATATTGTTCTATAATGTCAGAGAGCACTTTTACCCAGGTTACCCTTTTTCTCCCATTAATGTGGTCCTGTTGTGGTCTCCTGTTTTTCTTAAGCTATCCCAGGTGAGAAGTGATTATTTCTTGAATGAATGAGATTGCCTTTTTTTACCCTCTGCCATAGAATCCTCTTATGCTCCTTACTGGAAGCAACATGTAGGAGGCAGCAATGATGACAATCTACAAACATGTTTCCTGCTATGTGGCCATAACCAGCTTACAACATGTTCTACCCAGAAGTCACTTACTTTCAGGTCAGCAGGGCTATTTTTCTGTGATGTGTCTCTTTCTCTTAAAAGCACCTCTGATTGGTCAGGAGATCAAGACCATCCTGGCTAACACAGTGAAACCCCGTCTCTACTAAAAAATACAAAAACTAGCCGGGCGAGGTGGCGGGCGCCTGTAGTCCCAGCTACTCACTCGCGAGGCTGAGGCAGGAGAATGGTGTGAACCGGGGAGGCGGAGTTGCAGTGACGAGACCCGCCGCTGTACTCCAGCCTGGGCGACAGAGTGAGACTCTTATCTCAAAAAAAAAAAAAAAAAAAAAAGCACCTCTGATTAATCTACAGATGAGTAACCTAATTTTCTTCTCTTTCTTTTTTTTTTTTTTTTTTTTTTTGAGACGGAGTCTCCTCTGCCGCCCAGGCTGGAGTGGCAGCGGCCGGATCTCAGCTCACTGCAAACTCCGCCTCCCGGGTTTTTGCCATTCTCCTGCCTCAGCCTCCAGAGTAGCGGGGACTACAGGCGCCCGCCACCACCCCCAGCTAGTTTTTGTATTTTTTTTTTAGTAGAGACGGGGTTTCACCGGTTTAGCCAGGATGGTCTCAGTCTCTGACCTCGTGATTCGCCGTCTCGGGCGTCTCAAAGTGCTGGGAATTACGGCTTGAGCCACACCGCGCCATGGCCGACTAACCTAATTTCGTAAGTGATTTCTCTACCATGTCACAGAATTTTTTTTTTTTTTTTTGAGACGGAGTCTCGCTCTGTCGCCCAGGCTGTAT